TCCCCCACCCCCACCTTGCCCTTTATTAAAAGAGGCGAGACTTTTCAAAATCTCACATTACACACTGCCCTCTCAACTGCATGCTTTACTTCGGACAGCAAAGGACAGCGGGAGAACACCTCGCCTGAAACAACCTGTCATACTGAATTTGGGTGCTTCTAGAAGTCACATGGCAGCATTCATTAAGACTAAAAGGAGGCAAAGAAATGTAACAGGTTTATTCATTATTCCTGGGGTTTTGATCTCATAAGTATAAATGTGGAATATTGATATAAGTGAGCCTCTAAACATCACTTAAAGGAAGGTAGTAAGTGGCTACAAATATATGACTATAGGCTTATGGAAAACCCAACTGCTTTAATGACATGAACATGGGTTCTTGTGGGTTGGGATGCCATTTCCAATGACAACATCCTACTTCATTTCACCTGGAGCTGTAGCTAACATCTTACAAGGATGACCAGGAGGATGTGTTCTGGAAAACTGCCTGGATGACTTAGCTGGGTTCTAGGGTTGGTAAAGGCCTTATGGTTGAGGATGCACATGAAGAGTTCAAAAAGAAGTCATTTTGTTAGCTGGGTGTTGGAGAAATAATCCTATATAATAAAAAGCCTAATATGCAAATTGTCCCCTCGACTGGGAGTTCGACCAGCAGGCAGGGCCGGCTGGCCAACTGCCGGAAGGGAGGCCCCGGCTGGCAGCAGTGGCAGGCAGCCAGGGGAAGGGAGGTCCTGGCCACCGCTAGGAACCCTACCCATGCATGAATTTCGTGCACTGGGCCTCTAGTATTTTATAATTAACATTATTTTTATGTTAAATATACATATAAATGAATATATATAATATAATATGTAATATAATATATAATATACATATATATTACAAATGGTGATTTGACTTTTTAGTCTATTTCCCTAACAATCACATAGTCAAGCCCTGGCCGCTGTGGCTCAGTTGGTTGGGAGTCATCCTGTGCACCAGGGTTTGCCAGTTTGATTCCTGGTCAAGGGCACATTCCCAGGTTGTGGCTCGATCCCCTGTAAGGGAGGTATAGGAGGCAGCCGATCGATGTACTCTCATTGATGTTTCTCTCTCTCTGGTCCTTCCCCCTTCCTCTATTTCTAAAATAAATAAACTATTCTTTTAAAAAAAAAAAAAAAGTATGTTTTTATTGATTTTTAATGAGAGGAAAGGAGAGGGATAGAGAGCTAGAAACAGGGATGGGAGAGGAGCATCATGGCTGTCTCCTTCATGCACCCCTACTGGGGATCGAGCCCGCAACCCTGGCATGTGCCCTGACTGGAAATCGAATTGGTGACCTCTTAGTTCCTGGGTCAACCGCTGAGCCACACCGGCCGGGCTAAATAAACTATTCTTTAAAAAAATCATGTAGTCAAGCTGGTGCAAACCACTCTTTTGGGTCTGTCTCATTGGCCAATTGGCTTCAATATGGGAGTCACCTTATATTCCTGGTTTTCTAGGTTACATGGTAATTCTTTTTGCCACCTCTGATATGAGGGATTTGAAAGGGAGGAGGAACGGAGGGAGGGTGGCATTTTCTCTGCCCCTCTTCCTCTATTTTCCTCTTTTTCCATTGCTCTTGCTTCTTTGCGCCTTCCTGGCACTAGACTCTGGGCAGGGCGGGCCTCAGAGTGCCAGACTCAGGCCTTGCCCTCAGGAGATCACGGTTTGCAACCTATTTTAGACATTGGGAGGCCTGGGTGTTGTGATTCCCACTTGCAGTGTCTGTGATTTGCTTCTTGCTGCATAAAGTGTACTCCATGGAACATATTAATTTACTTGTAAGTAGGTTTATTATATGAAATATTCACTGGAGCAGGCTTTACCGTGCAGCATTTGGAACTGTGTACTAAGTACAGTTTGTTCTCATAAATCCATTAATGCTGATGGGATGGGATTATCTCCTGTGAAACTTCGGGTGAGGTGGGGGCTTGAGTAGGGGGAATCTGGCTGCTGAAATCTCTGTGTCTCTTGTCTTGGCTGTGGCAGGCCCTGCCTGCTCTGTGTGTGTGTGTGTGTGTGTGTGTGTGTGTGTGTGTGTGTGTTTACACATACCCATTCTCTCCTTTTTTAATGAATGCAGAGGCTTCTATTTCTGTGAGAGCCCTCTTGTCAGCTCCAGTTTCTTGTAAAATTCCAGATCCCAGCAGTGGTTTGGAAGTGTAATGAGGCTCACAGGGAAAAGCTGGCTCATGAGTGAAGACTGATCTGCGAGGAGAGGGATTCAGGGACCGTGGAGGGAGGTGGGGGCAGGATGCCAACACTCAGGACTAATCAGGGCAGCGTGGCAACCCCTGAGCCGGCACTTTATCTGCCTGTTCCAGGTGGTCCTAGCAGCCACCAGAGAAGGTAGGTGTTATCATTTCTATATTTGAGGCTCAGAGAGGTTTAGTAAGTTGCCCAAAGTGCCGTTCATTTAGTTCAGCAAACCTGTACTGATTCGTGGCCTGCCATGGGGCCAAGGGCTGGGCATAGGACACAAAGCCCGTCACAGCTTCTGGCCTCAAGGAGTGCCCATAAGCGGATAGAGAAGCAGAGCTGCAGAGGAGCCAGACAGGGAGGTGGAGCCGCCCCCTGTGTGATACAGGGTGCACACGAGGGCGTGATGAGTCGTGGGAGGCTGTGCAAAGGCTGGGGTAGGTGCCCAAGCAATGTTGGAAGACTGGATAGGGGTTTATCAGGCAGGTGGGGGCTGGCAGGAAGGGGTAGGGCTGGGAGAGGGGGCTCCAGACAGTCCGAAGAGCTGGTACAAATATACAAGGACATAGGACACCGCACTGTGGTGGGCAGGGTGAGGACTGCGGGATTTAGTTCTGCCCCATCCCGGGAGGAGGGAGGGTGGGAAGAGTGGGTAGCCAGAGCCGCTAGTGCAGGGCCTCATGGGCCACGCTATTTGGACTATAACCGAGGGCCGTGAGGAGCCGTCGGAGGATGTGAAGCCAAGGAAAGAGAGAAGTGAGTCTGTATGGATAGAAAATTACTCGAGAGGCACACCAGAAGCGGCTGGAGGGGGGCATGGCAGGGGACCCCTGTCAGGGTTTGTGATGCCTGTGTAGTCAGGAAGTCACGGGGGGCCAGGCAGGTCCTGGTGGGTGGGAGGAGAAAGATATAATTTGGTATCTGCTGGGAAACTGTGGAGCTGGCCTGAATTCCCATCGCAGGTTAAGAGGCCACAAAAAAGAAAAAGTCAAAGTATAAGAAAAAAAAAAAAAGCAGTCAGAAAAAGGGTAAAGGAAAGTAGTACATTGGAAATGTCAAGACATTTAAAAAAGACTTTTCTAAAGACATAAAAGATTTAAAGGGCTATAGTTGGGGAATGATGAGGGCTAATGCCATATAAGTTTCTCTGAGTTTAATAGCATTTTAGAAATTTAAGTAGACCTAAGGACAAAAGCAAACACTTAAGTGAGCTCAGATAAAAACAGGTTTCTGGCCAAAAGCAGAACCTAAAGCAGGGAAAAGCAGGCAGGGTGGCTTACCACCACGGCAGGGCTCTGAGAGGCTCGACAACCAAAGGCTCAGGGAGTGCAGGCGGGGCAGGGGGCACCATGGAACTGGGCCAGGAAGGGACCTGGGCAGAGCGAATGGCAAAATGCACCCTACCTGCTTGAGAACTTCTCGGGCACCACCCACACCCGTGTTTTCTCCTGCTGGCATGGCCACTGACAACGGACACAAGCCTGTCAGGGGATTCGCGTGACCTCTCCTTCGCTGTTGGCGCCCTGTTCAGGGAGGGCCTTGGCCTTGGGGTCAGTGTGGTGGTGGCTGAGCAGCATGTGGCAACCTCCAGGCTTGTCCTGTTCTGTTGGCTGCCCGGGAAGAGGGAGGTGGAAGGGTCATCAGCAGATCTCTTGTGAGCGGGGAAGGGGAAGAAGGATATCTGGGCTCTGGCTCGGGCTGCATTTATTGTGCACAGTGGGGTGCTCTAGATGTTGTGGGGAGCATGGAGCAGCAGGGAAAACTTACCAGAAATATGTGAGCAGAGTGCATGGTTACTTGGTGTCTTGGATGAGGCTGGGGCTGCATGAGGGATGGACTTCAATATGGACTAATGTCTAATAAGGAAACCAACTCATTAGGGTCTTATTAGTGCTTTGTCCACTCTAATCACTGGTTCTGCTGATGTCTTCCTCCCCATTTGGTTGCTGTTAAGGAAAGAAGGAGCATTTATAGTGGGAAGAGCATGGGGCTTGGAAATGGGACCAGTGTTCAAGTTCTGGCTCTGCTACTTATGAGCGAAGTGACGCTGCGCAAGTGTAACCTCTGTGAACATCTGCTTTCTCGTTTTTAACTGGGAGCTGTGATAGTGATGTCACCTCACTGAGGTCCCAGGATGTCATGGGGATCGGTATGTGTATGTGAGAATAAACCGCAGAACTCCGGTGGACCCTAAATCTTCTGAGCTTATTCCTTATACCCCTCACAGCACCTCCAAAACGTCAGGACACTCACGAAGTGCTGATTGGGTCAATGGATGCATTTCCTGTGGCATTGGGCATTTTCCAGGGCCCCTGCCACTGTGCACCCTGTTGGACAGGGGAAGTGGAGCACCTGGCTGGCCTGTGGAATGGGTAGTGGCCACCAGGGCCAGCTACTCAGATGTGCTGAGGGTCCTAATTTCAGGACCAGACAGTTCCACATGGTTTCCAGTCACTGGGCACAGAACTACCTTCAGGATGGCCCAGCTTGAAGTTCAGAAACAAAGCAGACTGGGGGCTTCTCTCATTCCTGGCCTCGTTCCACTCCTCTTCCCCTACACCCCCCAGGTGCGTGCCTGCACACCCTTCACGTGTGATGTCCCCGTCCCCGTAGCCAGCGTCTGCTGCTTTCCCATTGTTCCCAGTTCCTTAGCTCTTACTTTGGACGCCCTGCTGGTGATCATGGAGAGGCACTGTGTGTCTCCCCCTGTGGCCCACGTGGGTGCTGGGCGTCTGGAGCCGGTTTGCTCACTCCTGTGGTTTCCTCCGGCCCTGCTGCAGGTCGTCTTCCACGATGTCGCCGTGCTGACCGACAAGCTCTTCCCCATCGTGGAGGCCATGCAGAAGCACTTCAGCGCTGGCTCCGGGACCTACTACAGCGACTCCATCTTCTTCCTCTCAGTTGCCATGCATCAGATCATGCCCAAAGGTAACCTGGGCCACGAGCCCCTGGTATTGATGTTTGCCTCTGTTTCCCTGGGCCCAGCACCGCCAGTGCCCTGATTGGAGGAGCTCCACAAAGAGAGGGTGAGGGGGCCAGCAATACCCTTTATGTAACAGCTTCCTGCACAGAGAATCAAGGGCGGGGCCCTAGGCTGCATAGCTCCCGCAGTATGAGTGGTGCAGTGTGGTCCAGGGCAGCTGGGCTCCCTGCCCCTTGCATGCAACCAGCCTCAGGACTCTGTTCATCTGATAAAGGGCAGGTAGGACTTGGTGACCCTCCATCCACATCTGTGACCCTGTTCTTTCTAGTTTGAATCTGTACTTATCTGACTTTAAAATGTCAAATCTAGATGTGAGAGGTGCAAATTATGACTGAATAGGACTTTTTTTGGAAACTCCGATACCCAATTAAAGGATTTACTAGGCTTTGGTCTCTCCAGGGCAGAAGAAATGTGGTGTGTGGTAGGTCCACCTTGTGTGGGAGTGCTGGCAGGTTTGGTCATCCTTGGGTTAGAAGCCTGGCGGGTATCCTCACTCGAGGGGTGTCCCAGGCTTCTGGATTCTTCTCCTCCAGCTGGTCCTTGATTGATTCTGGAGCCCTAGAGATTGCCCACTTTCTGGCCACGGTGAACCATATGACCTGAGCCTTTTAGAGGTGAGAAGGGGAGTTTTGGGGTCATTGCCTAGGGGACAGCCAGGACACTTGGTGGAGGCCTGCTGCTCTGGCCCAGCTGACCAGAAGTGAAAGGGGTGTCGAGGACACTACAGTTTGAAGGGCCCTCGTAAGCTAGGAATTCAGGAGTTGGAGGTTGAAGCTGGGCTTTGTTGGCGGGTTGTCATACCACAGAGAAATCCAGACTTTATCTCCGCAAGGCAGGCCCCTGGGTGTTCTCTTAGCTGCAAGGCAAGGGCTCAGGAGCTTCCCTGAGCAGGGGTCCAAGGAAGGAGGAGACGAGCTCACCACAAGGGCACGGGGAGAAGAGCAAGCATTTGTGATTCTTCACAGAAACCAGGTGTGGCTCTGCCAGCTCTGGTCCTCTCACCCACCCTTCGAGGGTACAGATGAGAGAGACTGAGGACTTGAGTGGCCTGCCCAGCGTTAGACAGCCATTCAAGCAGCAGAGCTGTCTGACACGGAGGCCTGATTCTGTAAGTAGCAGTTAGTTCCACTCCGTCAGGCGGGCTGCAGGGGTGTCTCTCTCTGGGCAGGCCTGGTGCAGGTGCTCAGGCTGGAGGAAGGTGTGTTCCTGCTCTCCTGGGTTCTAGGTGAGAAAGACAGATACAGATGCTGGTTCTAGTTCTGCCACTAAGTGCTTGTGTGCCTTTTGCTGAGCCAGTTTGCCTTTGGAGGCCTCAGTTTCCCCACCTGTAAATGATGAGGCTGATCTAGTGAGCTGCTTTGATCAGAAGAGTCTAGGTCAGCCGTGGGCAAACTACGGCCCGCGGGCCGGATCCGGCCCGTTCGGCTGTTCTATCCGGCCCGCGGAGCCGAAAGAGCGGAGGGTTCTCTTGCTCTCCCCTCCGCTCCTTCACCAGCTGCAGTGTTAACATGTATTAGTTCACACAAACACTCCATCCATGCTTTTGTTCCGGCCCTCCGGTCCAGTTTAAGAACCCATTGTGGCCCTCAAGTCAAAAAGTTTGCCCACCCCTGGTCTAGGGCCACAGGAACCCCCTTGGGGGCTCTGTAGTTTGGGGAGCCAAGAGAGAGCAGCTCTACCTTACCCCACCTCTCCTGTCCCCACCTTCACTCCTAGGAGCCCATGGATTACTGTGTAGACCAGGCTTTGGAGCAGGATTCTATTTGATCAAAGAGTTCCATGATTAAACTAGTTTAAAAGTGTCGACTAGATGGATCCTTAGGGCCTGACCAGCCCTGTTGTCCCACAAGCCTGATTTCCTTTGAATGAAATGCTGTGACCGAAGAGTTGACAGGAGTTAGCAGAAGCCTTGGAGGAGGCCTGACCTTCCTTTTCCTCCCTCCCTTGTGCTAGACTCCAGGCCATCTCATGCTTTGAGGCACCAGAGGGAGGGGAAATAGATAATCCTCCTTGTGGATTATTGGGGTGAGAAGATACTTCTGCCTCACTGTGTCAGGGAGGGCCAGGCAGTGAATTGTGAAGTGTGGATGACACGGCTTAGGGAGCCCCAGGCTGCTGTCCCTCCGTCTCTCTGGCTGTCCTGCCAGGGTTGGGCTCTAGCTCAGCTGGCCATGCCTGGGAGGGATGTCTGCAGGGACAAGGCTTTGGCCAGAGCTTTGCTGGCATGCGGTAGATCAGATCCTTGGTGTCCCTCAAGTGCAGTCCATGCCTCTGGACCGCAAACGGTGGGGAAGGGGCTGTGTGAGGAGGGCAGCGGGCAGACCCAAATGCCAGTCTTTCCTGGAGTTCTCCAGACCAATGATAATGTGCTGGCAGAGACTCATTTCTACAGCTGCCCAAAGTCTGCTTCCTAAGAAGAGAGTTGTTAGGAGTTACTAAAACCTGACATTCCTAAAATGAAACAAGCAGCCCCGAGCTGCCGCAGGCGGGGTTCTGCCGAGCAGTCTGGCTGTGGCAGGCATGTGGCCGCGTGCGGATGTCCACACTGAATTCCTGCAGTGTGCCCGGGATGCTTTGTTTTCAGGCACCGTTAGTGCCGTCTCAATTTGGTCACGGCTCTTTATTGCTGCCCTTTTTTTAAATTTTATTTTATTTTATTTATTTATTTATTTTTATTGCTGCCTTTTTTTTTAATCATAGAAGCTGCTGTTGTTTTGGGCTTTGCTGATGAGTTTGTTCCTGTGTAATTGGTGCTATTTTGGTTCATAGTGTTCTTTTTCTCCTGGAAAGTGAGAATGGAGCATGGGTGGGTCGTAAGCTCGTGGTCCCACCCAGGAAGGCTGAGTCAGAAAAGCTCTGAGTTAAGTCTGAGGAGGTCCCAGCTGGTGTTCGCCCCAGACATCCAGGTTACTTCTCCATGTCCAGGCCTCTCCTTTCCCCCAACCTCCATGGCATCAGGATCACCTGTCTGTACTCAGACTACCTCTAAACTATGCTTACTGCTTTTCCTGTTTTAAAAGCAACATGCATTCACAAGAGAAGCTCTGAAAACTACATTAAAATAGAAAAACAGTTATCCTTCTACTGCTACATAAACACCATCACTATTCTTGATTATCTTATATTTTCCCAACATGTAGCTTTTTAATAATTTAGGCAAAGTAGGAGTTATATTCTATATTTAAAGCATTTGGAGTGTTTTTAACAGATCAAACTATAAAATTGAACCTTCATTTAAACTAAAATATGAAAGAACAGCAGTGAAGCTGTGTCTCATGACATTTTCAGTTCATGTTGCTCATCACCATTTTCTGTGTAATCAGAGTCTTTGAGCGTTTTCTTTTGAATGGTTTCACTGAGTTCATTTTTATCATTTCCCTGTTCTTGGCTACCTAGATAGTTCTATTTTTTTTCCTATGATCATAAATTATACTATGATGAATATCCACATGTGTAAAGATTTTCTTTTCTAATTAGGATTATTTCCTTATAAGAGGACTGGTGCACAAATTCGTGCATGGGTGGGGCCACCACCTTCTGGGTAGGGGGACAATCAGAGGCAGGGCTGGCTGGGGGGAGGGGCCAAGGGCAGTTGGCCAGCCAGCCCCGCCCCCGGTCAAACTCCTGGTAGAGGGGGAAATTTGCATATTAGCCTTTTATTATATAGGATAATTCCCCACGGGTGGGATTACTGGGGCAGAGGTGATACTTATAAAGCCTGCCTGTGTCAACTCCCCCAACCTCACTGCACAAGTGAGGTTCTGTACCTTTCCTAAACCCACTCATGTCTGACCCTTGGAGGGACCTCAGGACCGTTGCTGTTCCCACGTGACAGGAGAGGACGGGAGGAGCTGAGGTCAGGCCATTTCTCCGAGTTTTAGGGAGAGCTGGGCCTCCTGTCTGGGTTTCGGATCCCTTCGCCCAGGCTTATTCTGATGGCCAGGCCTGAATGCCCAGCCTCTCACATCCACACAGTGCCTTGAAGCTTACAAAACCTGGCCCCTTCTCTCCTCTCCTCCCTCGCTGCAGCCCTGACTCCCCCTCGAAGCGGCGCCACCCAGACCATGTCTGCAGAGTGAGGAGCGAAACAGCCCTGCCGGCGGATCACGCTGGCTCTGCTTTTGGTCAGAGCTCGCTTTTCTTTCTGTCGCTTGTTGGAAGGGTCACGTGTGGCTGGCTGGTCCTGCGGCTCACACTTGCCCGCCCGTGTGTCCTTCACAGACATGCAGCCACTCTCTACTCCTCACGCACACCCACAGGGCTTTTATCTCCTCCTGCCGCTGGTGCGAGGTTTGTCACCGTTGGAAGCATCTTACGCAATGGAAAAGAAAACATTTCTGCCCAGCTGGAGCTGGAGGGAGTGAATGGCAGCTCCGCAGGGACTGCAGCTTCCCTCTCCTGTGTAACAGCTCCGAGGAGCTGTTGGCTCTGGGTGACTGACATGGCCATAAAAACAGCCCTTACTAAGACTGAGCCACGCCTGGCATATGACTGTGACGGGCTTTCCCTGGGCAGGGAGGGCAGGGAGGGCAGGGGCCAGACAATCGGCAGTGTGTAGAGCTTGTCGGGAGCCCCTGGAGACGTTCTTGTAAGGCTTCTGTCCTGTAAGACATCCTCGGCCAAGGGTCTGGTGTTTGTGTAACATGGTGCTGGCCGTTCTGGTGTCTCAGGGATGTTTGCTGGGTTGCTGCTTCATGGACTCGTGGTGGGGGGTGGGAGGGCATGGTCTAGCAATTAGGCAGGATGTCATGAAGGCCACAAGAGAAGCCACACGATGCTGAGGGTTTCAGAAGAGGATGAGTTACAGGCATTTGGCCAGAAGGAGGGAGACTTCATGGAGGAGGTGATACCAAAGCTTTGAAGGGTGGGTAAAGTTACGTTGTGTGCTGTTCGGCAGTTGGGAAGAGTTGTGTATGTTTGGGAAATAGCAGACAGAGTAGGGTAC